GCCGGCTCACCTTGCGCGTCACCACCCCGAACTGCACCCGGCAGCGGTGGCACTCCTCGGCGTCCACCCAGTCGGGGGCCTGGGGAGGGCAGAGTCAGGGCCAAAGCCACCCGTGAGAGGCCCGCGCGCAGGCGCCAGGCCCTGCCCACGAGGCCCAGCCGGGCTCCCTCTCCCCTACACGCTTCCGGCAGCCTCGGCCCGCAGAGACGCAGCGGCAGCAGCTGCAAAGGGCCTCGGTGGACCCCGGCCCGGCGCCCGACTCACCCTCTCCGCGGCGAACATGGCGTCGCTCTCCTTGAACTCCGGGAAGACGTGCCCTGGGGAAGAGTTGCCACCTCGAGCCAGGCCTCAGCCGCCCCGTGGCCCCCCGAGACCGGGCCTCGGTCCTGGGTCCCGCCCCAGGCAGACCTGCACTGAGGCCCCGCCTGGCCTCCAGGGCTCTGCACGGGGCGCCCACTGGGCCTGTCACTGACCGCAGGCGTGTCCAGTGGACACAACCTTGACCGGGCCCAGACCCACAGGAGACGCCAGGTGCTGGCGCTGCCGGAACCCTGGGGCGCTCCGCCGTACCCCGCCCCCAGAGCCAGTCTGCCAGCCCGGCCCCCGCCAGAGCCCCCAGGCCCCCAGTGCCTCCCCGGCCGCCGTGCCGGGGGGCGGTCGGCAGGAGCGGGGGCTTGAGGGCCAGCGCTCAACTGGGTGGCGGCCAGGGCCCGGGGGGCGCGGAGGCAGCGGGGCCGCCTGCTCACCTTCCACCTTCATGATCTGGTACGTGTCCTGGACCACCTTGTACCTGGGCTCGTTCCGGAAAGCGTGTGCCCAGGCCTGGATCAGGTACAAGACCTTGTTCCGCACGCTCACCTCCACCTGCCGCTGCAGAGGGCGGCGCGTGAGGCGGCCGCCGCGGCCCGGGGTCCGAGGCCCCGCGCCCGTCTGCTGCCCACTCAAGCCAGCAGAAGCCGGGGCCCTACCCGCACCTGGCCGGCCGCCGGCTCCTGCCCGCCACACCCATCTGGCCACAGCACACTGGCGCTCCAACAAGCCTGGCAAGCGGGCCGGGAGCTGCGGCCCTGTCACAGCTTCCTCCCCATGGGGGGCTCAGGGATGTCCCCTGAGGGCACTGCCCCCAAGGCTACGGGAGTGATGTCAGAGCCCCCCGGGGCGGCGTCCACTCGGCGCCAAACACAGCAGGGCGGACGGCACTGCCCAGGTGCCAGCGCCCAGCCCCAGGCCCGCCTGAAAGTCCCGCCGAGGCGGCGCACGAGGTGAGGGTCGCACATAGCCCCACAGTAGTGCCCGCCTGGCCACGCTGGGCAGCTGAGAGCCTGGCGGTCAGTCGCGTCTCGGCAGCCCCTTGCCGTGCCCAGGGTGGTAGCTCTGTGGCCGGTGGGCAGCACCTCACCCTCCCGCCTGGGACCACCCCCACGTCCAGGGGCTCCCCTGCCAACAGAGTGCGCCCCACGCGCCCGGTGCCCCGCCGCTGCCGCCAGCCCTGCTTGGAGGGCCGCAGGGACACTGCCCCGCCCACAAGGGCAGCAGACCTGCCGGGCCCCGCGGCCAGCCCACCTTCAGCAGCTCCTTCAGCTCCTCCATGGTCTGCTTGTTGGCCACCTCGTCGTGCACCGTCTGCCCGCAGTTCTTCACCACGGACTCCATGACCTGGGGGCGGCAGGGGAGGACCGCGCTGGGCAGGGTGTCCAGGGAGGCCTGGGCCAGGACCCGGCCGGCCGGGGCGGGGGCCTGGTTACCTCCAGAGCGTACAAGGCCACGTGGGGGTTCTTGTCGTTGACCTTCTTCTTGATGGAGCTCACGGCATATTTCGCTCTGAAAGCAAAGCGCCCGGGTGCAATCGGAGGGCAGGGGGCGGCCGGGGAGCCATGTGCCCCGGGGGCCCCGCCGCCCGCAGCTGGGTGGCCCCCACTCACTGAGTGTCCCCCTGGCGGATCAGGTCGCAGATCTGCAGGATGGACTCCCAGTCCGTCTCCAGCAAGAGCTGGCTGGTCGCTTTGTCTGAGGAGGACAGGCGCGGTCAGGCCCCTCCGAGCTCACCGGAAAGGTAGGCGGGGCCGAGAGTGTCCCGCAGGAGACAGACACAGGACGCCACGCCGGGCCCTGGCCAGGGCCCGCCGGCACTGCGGGCATTCAGTCTCCGGTCAGCTCTCGGCTGCCCGGCTGGCCGGAGCTGCTTCCGCGCGCTGGTGGGCAAGAGGACGGCCGCAGCGTCCGGGGCTGGGTCAGCACCGGCTTGGCCCCCTCAGCACTGCGCTGGGCCCATCCGCAGGGTGGCGCTCAGGGCACAGCTGCGGCTGGACCCGGCCCCCTCCCAGCGCGCGGGAAGAGGGGTGACCGGAGGAGTCTGTGGCCACTGCCCCCATGAGGGGCCCGCGCCGGCTGCCGTGGGGGTGTCCTCCACCTCTCGTGGGGGGCGCTCGCCACGAGAAAGGGGGGCCGTCTGCGGGAGG